CGTCAGTCGAGCTAGGCAGGCATGGTTTCAGCAACTCGTCAGCTCATCTCCACCCACGACCCACCTCTTTACCCATTTATGGGTATCCAGGTGTGACACTGCCAAGATGGCGCAGGCCAGCTCAGACAACTTTGAGCTTCAAAACGGCTCTTTAGAACGCTATGGGTGACATCACGGACGCTACGTCCATTTTTATATACAGTCTATGGTAGTTTCATACTGACTTCATTCACAGCGGACTGGTTGTCACATGATACTGTGTTGCATTCGGTCTGTAGGTATGACAGGTGTCAGCGGGGCGGGTGCGGTGGTGCAGAAGAGGCATTAGCATGCTGCTGCTCTTGTGGATTCTCATAGTAGGTGAGTCTTTGCTATGGTAATTGAATTTTTTGTCTGTGGTCCATAAGAGTCACAGTAGGGTGGACGTCTCATGTATTTGAGACAAGATATCTCCTACAGAGAAACTTTCCCCATTCAGCAGATGAACTAGTAGAGGGGGATTTTTTTGACTTTCTAATCCACATTGATCTCTGAAACTCCACCTCTTTCCTTTTTTATTCCCTCAGTCCCTGCATCCTTCTTGCAGCCTCCTGTGCCCCTCTCCCTGCCAGTCCACATGTCGGTCATCCCTCCTTCTTGGCAGTACCTTCCTCTGTTCCAAACAGAACTGGGACCTCTTTTCTCAAACTCCAGCCCCTTTTCCTTCTCCCAGAGCCTGTTCTTGGTGTCCCCACCTGGCCAGGGCCCCAGACCAGTCCTCCAGGCTTCATTTGGCTCTTACTCAGTTACACAGGTAAGAGGAGAGGAGTGGACAGATGAGATGTGTGGATGAGTTGGCTGAAGATTGCAATGTATGATTTCTAAAGCCAACATGCTTCATAGAGTCTTTCTCCCTCCACAGCGCGTATCAGAGCCTGTCCTCTCTTTCTCCCCTTATGTCTGCCTCTCTTCTGTCAGAGCATGTGGAGAGAGAGAGGGATGAGGGAGGGCAGGAGAGGTTTAGGGTGAGGATGCTGTTCCACAAGCGGGGCGATACCAGCACCCGAGGGACCTGTATCACCTTGCATGCCTTTAAAGAGACAGAGGAGCACAAGGGCTCCTGTATCACACAGGTGAAGACCAGTTTCTCTCTGAACTTAGTGTTTTCCCTCTGTCTTTCATACTCCTCCTTTTCGCTTTTTTTTTCCCTTTAATCTGTCTATCCATGTCTGTCCTGTTTTCCAGCCTCCTCTAGGGCTGTGCTTGGTAACTCTGACACTGCCCAGAGACTGGTTCAAGGATCAACATGGCAACCAATCACATCAGGATTTTGACAAGCGGCACGGTAACATCCACCCTCGTCACCAGGTGCAGAAGCGGGAACGACAGCGGGGCAGATATCATCACAGCAACTCTGTCAACCATCAGCATGCGACTTCTCCTTCTGAGGTGAGGTTCATGAGGTCACTCATTCATTTCAGTCAGCCAACTTACTTAAAATGCATTATTATGAAAATGTACATGTGTTTCTGATGGGTCACTAAGCTTTGACCTCATTAATCCCCACGAGGAAACATCAAGCTCAGCACAGCAGGGAGTGACAATAACTTTTTACCTAGGGGAAGTTGGGTGTACAAAAGCAGTAATAGCAGGTGACTGATTTCATCAGTGACAGTGAAACTTTCAGGTGAGCAACATGGCATAAGATGAACAGAGAACTGATTAAAAAGTGTGTGTTGTATATAGTATCTCATAAAAGTGAGTACTCCCCTCACATTTTGTAAATTTGTGATTATCTTTTTTCATGTGACAACACTGAAGAAATTACATTTTGCAACAATGTAAAGTAGTGAGTGTACAGCTGGTATAACGGTGTAAATTTGTTGTCCCCTCTGTCGTGGAAATCCGTTTCCTGGTGAGAGGTTGCGCAAATAATTGAGTTACGACAAACCGTTGTCTTTTAAGAATTTATTTAACAAAAGAGAATAAACAGAGAAGTGCTGCAACACAAATCAGCTGGACCAGAGGTTCTGTCTCCTAAGACAGTCACTAACGTCTGGCCCAGAGCAAAGGGCTGCATAATCATTTACACAGTCTGGGTTTCTATGTTTTGGGGAACAAAAGATCCTCTACCAACCTTGACTGGTCAACAACAAACAAAGACGGTTAGCTCCATGGTATAATACTGAAACTCGCAAATTAAAGCAAATATCACGGAAACTTGAGAGGAATTGGCGTTCCACCAAAGTGGAAAATTCTCGTTTAATTTGGCAAGATAGTCTTAAAACTTATAGGAAGGCCCTCCGTAATGCCAGAGCAGTACTACTCGTCATTAATAGAGGAAAATAGGAACAACCCCAGGTTTCTTTTCAGCACTGTAGCCAGGCTGACAGAGAGTCACAGCTCTATTGAGCCAAGTATTCCCATAGCTCTCAGTAGTTACGATTTCATGAGCTTCTTTAATGATAAAATTCTAGCTATTAGAGACAAAATTCACCAAGACCTGCCCTCAATTGGCACCGACTTATCTCTTAACTCAGGAACCTTAGAAACAGCTGTAGAACCAGATACATGTTTAGACTGTTTTGCTTCCCTCAATCTTTACCAACTAAATTCCCTAACCCTTAGTCAGCACCTCTATAATAGATATGAATGGCTATGTACCACAGTACTTTAAAGTAGCTGTAATTAAACCTCTTCTGAAAAAGCCCAAACTTGATCCGGATGTTTTAGCCAACTATAGACCTATATCTAACCTTCCATTTCTCTCTAAGGTTCTGGAGAAAGCAGTTGCTAATCAGCTGTGTGACTTTCTACAGCAATAGTTTATTTGAGGATTTTCAGTCAGGATTTACAGTCATCATAGCACAGAGACAGCACTGGTGAAAATTACTAATGACCTCCTTATTGCATCAGACAAAGGACTTGTCTCTGTACTGGTTTATTAGATCTTAGTGCTGCATTTGATACCATTGACCATCAGATCCTATTGCAGAGACTGGAATATTTCATTGGCATTAAAGGAACCGCTCTAAGCTGGTTTAAGTCCTATTTATCAGATCGATTTCAGTTTGTACATGTTAACGATGAGTCCTCCATGCACGCCAAAGTTACTCATGGAGTTCCTCAAGGATCTGTCCTTGGACCAATCCTCTTCACTTTATATGCTTCCTTTAGGCAATATTATCAGGAAACATTCCATAAGCTTTCATTGTTATGCAGATGATACTCAGTTATATCTATCGATCAAGCCAGATGAAACTAATCAGGTAGCTAAACTTCAATGTGCCTTCAGGATGTTAAACCTGGATGACCTGTAATTTTCTCATGTTAAACTCAGATAAAACTGAAGTTATTGCTCTGGGGCCTAAGCACCTCCGTGACGCATTATCTAAAGATATAGTTTTCCCTGGATGGCATCGCCTTGGCCTCCAGCACCACTGTGAGGAATCTTGGAGTTATCTTTGATCAGGACATGTCGTTTAAGTCTCACATTAAGCAAATTTCAAGGACCGCCTTTTTTCACCTACGTAATATTGCGAAAATCAGGAACATCCTGTCTAAAAATGATGCAGAAAAACTAGTCCATGCATTTGTTACTTCTAGGCTGGATTACTGCAATTATTATTATCAGGCTGCTCGAAAAAGTCCGTTAAGACTCTTCAGCTGATCCAGAATGCTGCAGCACGTGTTCTGACAGGAACCAGGAAAAGAGATCATATTTCTCCTGTTTTAGCTTCTTTGCATTGGCTTCCAGTAAAATCCAGAATAGAATTTAAAATCATTCTTCACCTACAAAGCTCTTAATGGTCAGGCACCATCTTATCTTAAAGAGCTCATAGTACCTTACTACCCCACCAGAGCACTGCGTTCCCAGAATGCAGGGTTACTTGTGGTTCCTAGAGTCTCCAAAAGTAGACTTGGAGCCAGAGTGTTCAGCTATCAAGCTCCTCTCCTGTGGAACCATGTTCCAGTTTGGGTTCAGGAGGCAGACACCATCTCCACATTTAAGAGTAGGCTTAAGACTTTCCTCTTTGATAAAGCTTATAGTTAGGGCTGGCTCAGGTAGTCCTGAACCATCCCTTAGTTATGCTGCTATAGGCCTAGACTGCCGGGGGATTTCCCATGATGCACTGAGCTCCTCTCTCCTCTACTTTCTCTCCCTCTGTATGCAACCTTATCCCATTATTGCATGTTACTAACACAACTTCTCCCCTTTCTGGTAGTCTTGTGCTTTCTCGTCTCTCCTCCCTCCTATCACTTCCTACAGGTTTTCTGGCTCTGGAGCTGTGGAGTCTGGATCTGTGGCTGCGGGTCACCTGCTGCCCCCGTGTTCCTGCTCGGCACCCTCTACTGCAACGACTATTGTTGCTAGTCTTATTGTTATTATTGTTATTATAATCATTAACATTACGATGGTTACCATTAACACTATTATAAATATCTGTACCATTTTTCATTTAGTCTATAGCAACATTACCTTTACTGTCTGTACCTCTGTGTGTATATTGTGTAGGCTGCCTCCCCCCCTCTCTCTCTCCTTACATCCCCTCTCTTTCTCTTCTCTCTCTCTCTCTCTCTTCTCTCTCTTTCTCTCTCTCTCTCTCTCTCACCCCAACCAGTCGAGGCAGATGGCCGCCCACCCTGAGCCATGGTTCTGCTGGAGGTTTCTGCCTCTTAAAAGGAAGTTTTTCCTTGCCTCTGTCGCCTAGTGCTTGCTCTTGGTGGGAACTGTTGGGCTTCTGTAAATATCATCACAGAGTATGGTCTAGACCTGCTCTTTTATGAAAAGCGCTGTGAGATAACTGTTGTTGTGATTTGGCGCTATATAAATAAAATTGAATTGAAAATTGAATTGAATTGAATTGGTCCCAGCAGAAAACAACTCCACATCCCTGACCTAAACCTACACATGTGGACAGACTAGAATGATGATAATAATAATAAAAAGAACAGGTTAAAGATTAAAACAATGCATAAGACATAATAATAATAGGAAATAGCGATATAAATAGAGAGACAGAGAGAGGGCAAGACAGGAACAGAGAGAGAGGGATAGAAGGCAGCCTACACAGTATACACACAGAGGTACAGACAGGGATGGTGATGTTGGTATAGACTAAATGAAAAATGGTACAGATATTTATAGTAGTATTAATGATAATAATCGTAATGTTAATGATTATAATTACAATAATATCAATAGGACTAGTAACAATAGTTGTAGCAAACACATAATGGGAAATCCCCCAGCAGTCTAGGCCTATAGCAGCATAACTAAGGGATGGTTCAGGACTCGCCTGAGCCAGCCCTAACTATAAGCTTTATCAAAGAGGAAAGTCTTAAGCCTACTCTTAAATGTGGAGATGGTGTCTGCCTCCTGAACCCAAACTGGAACCTGGTTCCACAGGAGAGGAGCTTGATAGCTGAACGCTCTGGCTCCAAGTCTACTTTTGGAGACTCTGGGAACCACAAGTAACCCTGCATTCTGGGAGCGCAGTGCTCTGGTGGGGTAGTAAGGTACTATGAGCTCTTTAAGATAGGATGGTTCCTGACCATTAAGAGCTTTGTAGGTAAGAAGAATGATTTTAAATTCTATTCTGGATTTTACTGGAAGCCAATGCAGAGAAATATGATCTCTTTTCAGAACACGTGCTGCAGCATACTGGATTAGCTGAAGAGTCTTTATGGACTTTTTCGAGCAGCCTGATAATAGAGAATTGCAGTAATCCAGCCTAGAAGTAACAAATGCATGGACTAGTTTTTCTGCATCATTTTTAGACAGGATGTTCCTGATTTTCGCAATATTACGTAGGTGTCCTTGAAATTTCCTTAATGTGAGAGTTAAACGACATGTCCTGATCAAAGATAACTCCAAGATTCCTCACAGTGGTGCTGGAGGCCAGGGCGATGCCATCAAGGGAAACTATTTCTTTACATAATGCGTCACGGAGGTGCTTGGGCCCCAGAACAATAACTTCAGTTTTCTGAGTTTAACATGAGAAAATTACAGGTCATCCAGGTTTTAACATCCTGAAGGCACATTTGAAGTTTAGCTACCTGATTAGTTTCATCTGGCTTGATCGATAGATATAACTGAGTATCATCTGCATAACAATGAAAGTTTATGGAATATTTCCTGATAATATTGCCTAAAGGAAGCATATATAAAGTGAAGAGGATTGGTCCGAGGACAGATCCTTGTGGAACTCCATGACTAACTTTGGCGTGCATGGAGGACTCATGCACATGGAGACATGTGTGACAGCAACTAGGGTAGGAGTACAAAGACAAGTGTGTCTTGTCTACAGACAAGCATGGTGGTGGGAGTGTTATGGTCTTGGACTGTCTGAGTGCTACCGGCGCTGGTGAGCTACAGTTTATTGAGGGAACCATGACTGCCAACATGTACTGACATACTGAAGCAGAGCATGATCCCCTCCCTTCGGAGACTGTGCTGCAGGGCATTATTCCAACATGATAAACAACCCCAAACACTCCTCCAAGACGACCACTGCCTTGCTAAAAGGAGCTGAGGGTAAAGGTGATGGACTGGCCAAGCATGTCTCCAGCCTATTGGGCATTTGTGGGGCATCCTCAAATGGAAGGTGGAGGAGCGCAAGGTCTCTAACATCCACCAGCTCGTGATGTCGCCATGGAGGAGTGGAAGAGGACTCCAGTGGCAACCTGTGAAGCTCTGGTGAACTCCATGCCCAAGAGAGTTAAGGCAGTGCTGGAAAATAATGGTAGCCACACACTTTAGACATTAATGGCTGTGTGATGTGTTAATTTGAGGGGACAGAAAAATTACAGTTATACAGCTGTACACTCACTACTTTACATTGTAGCAAAGTGTCATTTTTTCAATTTGTCACATGAAAAGATATAATGAAATATTTACAAGAATGTTAGGGATGTACTCACTTTTGTGAGATACCGTATATGGTGTAATGAGAGAACACATTTAAGTGTCCTGGCTCTGGCAAAATCTACATCTGTCCACTGCAGAGGCTCTATCCATAACATGGAGGAGTTACTAACTAGTATAAATGAGTGTATTAGTATAATAATCTAAAATTAAATAAAGAGTATAATGTTCAACTAATAGTGTACTGTTAGTATAATATTAATATATCAAGCCTAGAAGTAACAAATTCATGGACCAGTTTTTCTGCATTTTTAGACAAGATGTTCCTTATTCTTGCAATATCACGTAGGTGAAAAAAGGCAGTCCTTCAAATTTGTTTAATGTGACAGTCAAAGGACATGTCCTGATCAAAGATAATTCCTCACAGTGGGGCTGGAGGCCAGGGCAATTACATCCAGTGTAACTATATGCAGATAATGTGTCATGGAGGTGCTTGGGCACATTTCAGTTTTATCCGAGTGTAACATTACAAATTTACTGGTCAATCAGGTTTAACATGTACACACAGAGATTTATCTGATAAATAGGACTTCAACCATCTTAGAGATTTTCCTTTAATGCCACTTAAATGTTCCAGTCTCTGTAATAGGATCTGATAGTCAATGGTATTAAATGCAGCGCTAAGATCTAATAAAACCAGTACAGAGACAAGTCCTGTGCTCTCTCTATGCTATGATAAACTCCTGACTAAATCCTGACTGAAAATCCTCAAAAAAACTATTGCTATGTAGAAACTCACACAACTGTTTGGCGACTGCTTTCTCCAGGATCTTAGAGAGAAATGGAAGTTTAGATATAGGTCTATAGTTGGCTAAAACATCCGGATCAAGTTTGGGCTTTTTCAGAAGAGGTTTAATTACAGCTACTTTAAAGTACTGTGGTACATAGCCTGTTGATAAAGATAGATTGATCATATCTAGTATAGAAGTGCTGACTAAGGGTAAAACTTCTTTATGCAGCCTAGTCGGGATGGGGTCTATGAGACAGGTTGATGGTTTAGATGAAGAAATTATTGAAGTAGTTAGTAAAGATTGAGGGAAACAAAGCAGTCCAAACATACATCAGGCTTTACAGCTGTTTCCAAGGTTCCTGAGTTTAGAGATAACAAACGATTTTATTGAAATGTGCAACAGAGTGGCGAGCATGGAGGGGGTTTATCCTGGCTAGGTGTGAGCAGAGAGCTGTTCAGCAGGGTCTCCAGAGTTAAGGTGATCCTGAGCCCAGAAAAACACAGGGTGAATCCAAGGAGCACACAGAAAGCACAAAGAAGCTTACTTGAGTCAAGAGTAGGCTTTGATGCATATACCACGTGTGGTTAACTGACAATCTGGCAAAGAACTGTGCAGGAGCTTGATTAGTGGAATGAGGATCAAGTGTGTAACTGAAGCTTGGCAGCAGGAGCCAGAGAGTGTAGCCACGCCCAGACCAACACAGAGAGAGACAGAGGGCCTTTCTCATTTCCCAAATTTCTGTCTCCTCGACTCCTCAATCATCGAGCGTGTGACCCGGTAATCAATCCATCTTGAAGGACATCTCAATTCTTAAAATGCACATCGAGGAGCGAGGAGCGAGAAGGCTTGCTGGAGGAGCTATAAGCGAGGATACATCGGTGTATCCTTTGCAGAAGTCTTTTCAGCCACTGTGATGTTTACAAGAGCAGCTGGACCAATTCACAGCCAGAGCAGGACGCTGCAGTGTTCCTGTTGTATTCATAAGTTGTATCAGTTAAGCCTATTAAAAAGAATCAAATGCGCTCTCCGCCCTTCACCGTTTGTGTAGCGCCTCATAAAGCGCTTTTCTAACCGCATTCCTAATGTCATTTCACTTTGATATCACTGATGTTGTTATTGTTGAATGTCATGCAGGATTGTAAAAATGAACAGTAAATAGCGGCTGGACGAGGCGTCTCCCCAGTGACACTGTGCGCATTTATGCATGAGCCACAGCAACATAAATTAATAATAATAATCCCCCCGACACACCGACAGCATCGGAATTCATGTTCTGTGTTCTTCTACACATTCATACAGTTTGGAGTAAAGCAGACGTCCTCCTGATCAACCCTGAGCTCCATCAGAGTCTAAACGTGGATTATAGAAGCTGAAAGTTTAATTCTGTTTCCTCTCTTTGTCCTGTCAAGTTTATTACTGCAGGTTTTTTCTGTTTTGTCCCAGGATATTTGCTGTGAGATTATTGCACGGATGGAAATGTTTAAATGACTGACAGCAGCCATTCTAATCAGCAAAGTAAATCATTAAAGAAAACAGTCATACATCAATATAACACACAAGAAAGAAATCGCCTGGAAAGCTACAGGGACCGGTGGAGGTGGGGGTAAAACGTCCATGCAGATGCTGGTCTCTAAATCTGATAAAATAATTAGTTGGTGGGGGGCAGGTGGATGATTTATGCGTATAGGCCTATATAAGTTCCATTAATGTCCAAGCTGATCCGCGCATCACACCAATTCAGCTGCAATAATTGTGACAAAACGTTATTCCAACAGTACAGTCCTGCGATGACAGCTGTAATTGGGGCTATATGAGATAAATGTTAGGCTACTGTGTCATTTTGTAAAGGGACTGATGATGAAATGCTCATCTCATCAAGCTGAGGGCTGTAATGATCTCCTGTTTACAGACAAAAGGCGCACCACAAAAAAGTGGTAGGTCTAGTCTGCTGTGTAGCCTAGTGAATGATCAGGCTGCTGTAATCTGACTGTTTTCAACAGATAATGTTTATTGTAACCTTGAGATGTTTCTACATGTTATAATGTTAACAGACATGTTTCTGGATTGTGAAGAAATGATCTGTAGCTTTTAGTGCCAAAAGCTGGTCTGCTGCTCTGACAGAGATCACAGATCAAACAGTGGACAGATGATGCTGCTGTGCAATAGGTCATATTTAATGGACGTCGCTTTAAAATGACGGCTCCGAGGAAAGGACATCTCATTTTGTTAAATGCCCGTTTCCTCGACCCCGCTCTCCTCGCGTCTCCTCCTTGACTCCTCGAGCTCGCATCTCGGGTGGGCGAGACTAAAATGCGCCTCGAGGAGTCGAGGATTGAGGAGTCGAGGAGGTGAAAATTTGGGAATGAGAAAGGCCCAGAGAGAATAGACAGAAAACACAGGGAAGGAGGAAACAAAAGACTTTCTGTCAGCCTGGCTAATGTTGATGAAAAGAATCCTGGAATACCTCTTTTTCCCCCCCTATATTAAAAATGAGAAGGGCCTTCCTATGTTTTAAGACTATATTGCCAGATCAAAAGATCGATGGTTGATGGAATTTGACGGCATTTCGTTTCAAGTTTCCACAATGTTTGCTTTAATTTGCGAGTTTAGGGGCTAACAATGCTCCACGAAGGCCACTGGTCGACAACTGGAGAGACTCCATATAAAATCTGGCCTCACTGTCCACTTTGAGGCCTTTAAAGACCATGTAAGGACCTATAAATAAGCTCCCTCCAAGGCCAGAACACAAAACTCCACCTTCATTGGTAACCAGCAAAAGCAACCCAGAATTCTCTTCTCCATCATAATCCTGCTACTCTGTCCCCAAATTCCTGCACTTCTTCCAGGCCAAAGTGAACTCTATCCACCAAAAACTACTGCCTCCTACCCCGCACCCTCTACTCACATCCCACCCACATAAGGTTGCTGTCAACCCTATTCTCAGAGAGCCCAGTCTGGACCCAGATGACCTCAAAACTACCTTCCGATCTCCAACCTTCCCTTCCTCAGTAAAATCCTGGAAAGGGTAGTCACCACCCAACTTAATTAGCACATGTCCCACTATGACCTTTATAAACCCCTTCAATCTGGCTTCAGAACACACCATAGTAGTGAGACCGCCCTCATTATAACTAACAATAACCTCCTCATCGGCACTGATTCCAGCCACATAAGCATCCTCATTCTCCTGCACTCTCCTGGCTCCATTTAATCCTTTCCAATAGGAAACAGTTCATCACCTTCAGCAACTCCGGTTCTCTCCTGCCACAGTCAAACAAGGTGTGCCTCAAGGCTCTATGTTTAGACTCCTGTTCACCATCTACATGCTCAACCTTGGCCAGATAATAGGCCACTACAGCCTCAGTTTCCAGTGTTATGCTCAAACCATCCACGCAGCTCCCCCTTCTGTCACTTATTGACTGGCTTAATGAAATAAAAACTTGGATGTCATATAACCTACTAAAACTCAACAGCAGTAAGACAGAGCTAATGTTAGTGGCTCCCAAGCCGCTGCTCCAGAGGGTCGTAGATCTCAATGTAGATGGTTGCTCCATCTCCCTATCCTCAAAAGTTTGCAACCTGGGTGTCATTTTGGCAGGGAGTAGCAGAAAAATCTGGGCCCTTGGACATAAGCATTCTCTACTGGCCATCCATTGGACTTTTGGTGACAGAGCTTTTAGTGTTGCAGCACCCAACCTTTGGTACTCTATCCCTTCAGAGATGCAACGCTCCCTATCTGGACACTTAAAAAATGCTAAAAATCCAGCTCTGTACGAAGAACTATAATCATTAGTTACCTTTTTTGCATGTGTGTGTCTTTCTTTATGTGTGAAGTGTAAAGCGTCCTTGGGTCCCTTTAAAGTTACTATAAAAATCTAAGTTATTATTATTATTATATCATGGAGCTAACTTTCTAACATGGTCCTAACGCCGGACTCACAGTGGAGCGTGTGTGCGTGTTACGGCTGCCAGAGCTTGGCTGCAGTGTTTTCCAGGTTGGGTGTGAAAGACTAAGAACAAGGCTTTCAAAAGAGCTATAATTTAGTTTAGGCTTAGAGTTGATTAGTAGGCTAGAGTCGAAGATTTCATTGAGACAAAATAAATGAATCTGATATTAAATCCAAGCTGCTCCATCCAAAGTGGAATGTATGCTTTCTCTCCTAATCAGACCAGGTCTTCTCCAGAAAGTCCGCCAATGATCTACAAAGGCCACACAGTTTGCTGGACACCACCTCGACAGCCAGTAATGGAATGATGACATGCGGCTATACATGTCATCACTGGTCAGATTTGGCAGGGGTCCAGAGAAAACTACGGATACATTGTCTTTGCATTTGTACACACTCAACATTAATTTTAGTGACCTCCGACTGGCATAATCAGGTGTCGTTACCGCCAACATGAATAACAGCCTGCTGACTTGCAGTGTGAAATTCCTCTTTTTATTTGTGGATAACATGTTTGTGAATGAAACTTGGCCACAAATGGAGCAGAATAGAGCCTTAAAGATTAATTTACGCTTTTATTCAGAGACCATACAGGTGTTGATCCGGATACCCAGAGGAATGTTCCACGGGCTCTCAGATACCAACGGGGCCCTGTGAGAAACCAAATACAATTTTACTACTCCTTCATCAACACAGTGGACGACCTACAGCTGACACCACTAGGGTATGTTACAGAGAATGTAAACATGTAAAGAGACTCTTTTTAGTGTTTTCTTTGCAGTTCAATTCATTTCTGTGTGTCATTCCCCAACATCTGTCATTCTCCTTGTACCCTTTGATCATTCTTCCAGATGTGTAGAGGACAGAGTGGCTCAGTCCCAGAGGCAGCTCTTCCATATCAAAGCATTGACACTGGAGAAGGAGGAGAAGGACAAGGAAAGAAAACAGAGCCGGACTAAAGAAGAGGAAACCTGTTTGAATGGGCAGGAAGAGGAAGAGCTTGTCTTGGACTCCCATGTCGTGATTCGCCACCACAAGGGCCCGGCCCTGATAGGACAGCCAATCAGGGTGTCTGTGAATCTGAGAGCCAACTTCAGTGCTGAGTTTGTTGTCTTAAGGTAGACACAAAATGTAGTCAGTATAACATTACTTTCACGCTCTTAAAATGCTGTCTTGTATTACACTCTGTATTACTCACTGCCAACAAACTCTTAGTTTTACACTGACAATCTGTGTGTCTTTAGGCTGAAGATGAGGAAGGGCTTGGTGTCAATGGTGGCCCAGAGAACTCTGACCTCCGACCTGTGGGCAGTGACCCTGGAGAGAAGCCAACGCTCCAAACATGATGTTTTGTCCATCCTTTGCCACAAACAGAGCACACTCAAGCACACAAACAAGTAGGTCAAGAGTGTGACTTAATCTCAGTTCACTGTGACTGTGGCAAAGGGAGAAAGTCCATTCAGCTAATCTAGCGATAACTGTGCACAACACCTCAAGTAGTGAAAGCTATTACACACCAAAAGATGCAAAATGCTGAAGCCATCAAAAGTGTTTTAACACATTTTACCATTCAAACAACCAAAGGTGTGTTTAAAGAAGTACCAGTGTTCTGAAACCCCCTGCTCCCACACCTTTTGAACAACTACATTTTGGGGGCATGCATCCAGCAGGTTCTGTAACTTCCAGAAACTGACAATCCAGAAAGTGAAAAAGTAGGGACGTTTTGACCTTCTCGAGGAAAGGTGGAATGAGTAAAACAATTCCTTCATGTGTAGGACAGGACAGTAGAATTATTAATGCTTCAACATGACTTAAGGTGAATGGCATCCTTTTGATTTGATTTCCCTTATTGTAGAACAGTTTGCAACAGGATGTTAGGGGACGGGACAGAAAGGACCCAAACGCAGCACTCAGAGTGAAGGAGGTTTTATTGAGGGTTCACGGGGGGGCTAAGGAAGAGGTGAGGGAGGAGAGGTGGACGCCAGGGGACGCGGGCACGGAGGACCAAGGAGCGGGCGAGGCACGGGTGGTGAGGCGAGGAGCAGGGAGGAGCAGTGAGGGCGCAGTGGAGGAAGCCCGAGAGGTGAGGACCGGAGGATGAGCCCAGCCGACTGAACGGATGACGAGGGTGGAGTGGAGAACCGGGGTTGAAATACAGGCTGGGATGAGGTTGATTACTGGCAGGTGTGGCAGGCTGACGAGGTGGCTGATGAGGTGCAGGTGTAGGTAGTTGGCTGGGCTCAGGAGCCGAGGGAGAGAAGAGGAGAACACAGGGAGGCAGGCAGAGCAAAACAATGGGTGAAATAAAGTGAGAAAAAAAAGTAAAACCAGGACACTCACCGTCAGCTGGGCTGTCCCCACAACACAGGACAGACAAAGCCTAAATCAAATGCCATTGCACAGTGATCATATTTACTAAAAACAAAAAAACAAAAAATTGGCCCTGGCATTTTTGGCCCAGGTGGCTCACCAAAATCGGTCGGACACCCCTCACCAACACACCATCCTTCCTAACATTGCACAAGATTGGGGCCATGACAAAAAGACAAGAATATATTTTAATATGCCTACTATTTAGAAAAAAAATGTATTGAAGAAATAGTTAAAAGGGGGTCTGGTGGTCCTCCCCGAGAAGATTTTGAGTATTAAACACTTAATGTCCTGCATTCTGGGGACATTTTCTGGAGACATTTTCTGCACCAGGGAAGCACAAAATTCAGGTGGCAGGTGACAATTCAGAATCTAAAAATATAATAGAGTACAATGTAGTAATCAGTAGCTTATTATTGTTTTTAGCCTATGTTACTTTTTTGGGATAACACAGGTTTCTTCTATATTTCCATTGCATTGCAGGCCTACTGTACAAATAAACCTTTTTCATAGCATTTTTATTTGTTAATTAACATTTCTTGGTGTAAGCTTAACAAATGCTTTCAAAATGGGGTGGGTAACCTACATGTCCCCAGTGTCCCCAGTGTAAATGACCCTCCTCCCTGCTCCCTACCTAGAGGTCAAGCTACTCCGTACTTACCACTTCACCTCCACTCTCCTCCTGCTCACTTTCTCACTCAGCCCTGTCACTTTGTCCCTCTGCTTCGCTGTCTCACACCTCCTCCTCTGCCTGGCATTGGCCACGGTCTCCTTTACTCCTTCAAGTGCCTGTGCCCATGGGTCATTCTCATTCTCATGGGTCATTAAAATCTCCCGACACGCCGACAGGATCGGTCAGGATCTAATGTCAATGCCTGTTCTGTGTTCTTCTACACATCCAAAAGGTCTTACTCACAGTCCAGATTCATATAGTCAAACTTTTTGGAGTAAAGCAGCAGTCCTCCTGATCATTCCTAAACTCTAAAGAGCGTCTAAATTATTTCAAAAGCTAAAAGTTGAATTCTGTGTCCTCAGGAGAGTTTTCTCTGTCCAGTCAACTCACATTTATGACAAAAGTTTTTTTGTTTTGCTGCATTAATGTCCCACATTCATCGCTGTGATTTTATGGAAGCAATTTTAATGACTGACAGCAGCTTCTCGAATCATGAAAGTAAATACTGATACTGAAAAGACAACACTGATACCGCAATAAAACACAAAATAATGAAACCAATGCAGGGGAGAGATGTGACCCACGACTGGTTCATTATAGTTTATAATAATGTAGTGCAGTGAGGAGACAGTGTCTGTCTGCCTGTTAACAGACTGGAGCTCCGACACTTCACTGATAAATCACAGAGCTTCAGAGTAACATCAGGCTACATAATCAGAGACAGTTTTTATATTATGTCAACTCCACTTTTGTGGTGCTGTGCTGTGAGTCTGCAATGCAATCAGTCAATTGATGGTTTTAACAATGCGCCATTCATCCGCCATTATAATAGCAATTCTCCAAGGTACAAGAACACCTGGCTTTTAAAGGGAATGGGAGATGACTCTCTGATTGGTGTATTGCATGTTACACCCAAAACACACCCATGACTAATTCATAGACTAAGAACAAGCCTTTTGAACCATGTGCCTGGTGCGCTGATCCTTTTGTCCACGGTTTAACTAGCAGAATTTGGGTTGGACACGCCCCAAACGCAACTGCGCCACGTGCTTTATGCTGTGCGCTTACATCGTTAAAATAGGGCCCACAGATTCTCTGATCTCTGTCGCCCTGCAGTCCCACTCTTCTCCAGCAGGTGGTGTGTCTATCAGTCGATGGCCTGAGGCAGAGTTTTGGTATTGCCATGACGGTGTCTGCAAACTGGTGGGTGGAGTACTCTGGGCGTAGTAACCCCATATCACCACATGGGGCTGCAACAAGCATGTTCTCATTCACTGATCGACACATCTTTGGCATCGCTCCCATTACAGAGGTACTTAATTCATTTATTCAATCCCAACCCAAAAATCATAATTATTATAATCTCCATCTATTCTTATTTGTTTAAACATCATAGTGATTGTGTGTTTTCTGATCCTCAGAGTAACACCATCATCAACACAGCCATACTGACCAACCAGCCGGTGTCACTTCCTGTCATTGTACTGGCCATAAGTCGTGATGGGAAGATGTCAGATGTCACGTCTGCAGTCACGTGCCACTCTACCAACGAGAATACTGTCAAGGTGCAACACAGTCAAACATTAAAAAAATCTGTTAATAGATTTAAAAGGTATAGTTGGGGCTGTATGAGGTACTTATACACAGTCAGTGTATCACCTGTAGTAGACGGCGTTGGCACATCCCAGTTTGGAGAAGGAGAGAGTTGTTCCGGCACAGAAGCAACGTACTGCTGTGGACAGGGTCAGCAGCTAACGTGTTTTAGCCACTTGAAAAGAGCCCCACAGGAATCAGTTTCAGTGTTGAATATTTTCAGCGCTTTACCTTGCTGTCAGACAGCCCTTTCCCTTGGAACTACATTTTCTCAGCTGTAGAACTTCCATATCCCTATGCATAAGTGCAAGGTCCGAGTACGTTCTGATAGTTTATTTTTTCGTTTGAATGATGAAACAAACAAACGAGAAAACCACCTTTTTTCGTTTGTCGTTTCAAACCAAGACGAAGAAACGAGAAAAAAAAAGCTGTTCAAATAATGGTCCGATTTTGGTTTTTTGAAATTCCTATTTTTATTTCTCCGTTTGAAGATAGACATTAAGAAAATAAAGGCAGGTGGGCCAGGTGACCCGGAAGTAATGGTAAACATGTTAAAATAAAAGCCAAGCCTGTAAAACGGTCAGATCTGTAACATTATGCAGCACTAACGTTATACCACGGTGATGTTAGATAAAAATAAATAAATAAATAAACCTGGACTTTGAGAAATAAGTTAGTAACAGTGAGAGTCAGAGTTTTTTAAGCACATTGCTTGGTGCAGTACAGTTGGTAGGTTAATATAGGTTAACCTAAGAAATTATTGTGTGTGCAGAGTTGTTATTGTCAGCGCTATATTTTTAATATTAAATTCATATTTAATGTGGTTTCCCCGTAATGAACCAAGCTGTTTCCCCTTTCTACCAGCAGGTGGCAGGATTTAAATGAAGGTCTGTGCTGTGTAAACGTTTTGAATCCAGATTACTGATATAGATGCATTTGTTGTTGTTAATTTCATTTGGTTTTTGATATTTTTGTCTTATTTGCAACCTAGTTATCATCTTCATCATTCACCCTCAGCCCAGAGTTAAACCTGCATGCCCTTCTGTTCTAACCTGGTTCTAACTCTGCTGTCAGCTTCTCAGCAGCTCTGACAACAAACTCACCTCAGAAATGTCCTAATGTAGGCCATCTGGCCAAAAGAATGATTTACCAGTGTGCTATATACTGTGTGAATCTTTCTTCTCCATACACATTCCAGTGTGTAACATACAGTGAGGAAAATAAGTATTTGAACACCCTGCTATTTTGCAAGTTCTCCCACTTAGAAATCATGGAGGGGTCTTCCATTTTCTAATGATTGCTCCAACAGTGGACCTTTTTTCACCAAGCTGCTTGGCAATTTCCCCGTAGCCCTTTCCAGCCTTGTGGAGGTGTACAATTTTGTCTCTAGTGTCTTTGGACAGCTCTTTGGTCTTGGCCATGTTAGTAGTTGGATTCTTACTGATTGTATGGGGTGGACAGGTGTCTTTATGCAGCTAACGACCTCAAACAGGTGCATCTAATTTAGGATAATAAATGGAGTGGAGGTGGACATTTTGAAGGCAGACTAACAGGTCTTTGAGAGTCAGAATTCTAGCTGATAGACAGGTGTTCAAATACTTATTTGCAGCTGTATCATACAAATAAATAGTTAAAAAATTATACATCGTGATTTCTGGATTATTTTTTTTAGATTATGTCTCTCACAGTGGACATGCACCTACGATGACAATTTCAGACCCCTCCATGATTTCTAAGTGGGAGAACTTGCAAAATAGCAGGCTGTTCAAATACTTATTTTCCTCACTGTACAACACTCCCATTGTGTCATGCAAGAAGAGAATCCATACAAGTCTTTCCATACAACATTTATTCAACATATATAGCACATACATGCGTTCAAAGGCATTGAATGTACAATCTATGGCTGCAGAACATTGACTGTGAAGCCATGAGGTAAGAACATTTTACGAGGTCCTCAAAATTCAAGAAAAAGACTACTTTGGCTTTTTAGTTAAACTTTGACCTGACCGAGCAGTTCTTCCCTCCTATGTTTTATGATAGCAGCTCCTCCCCTATGAGTAAAAACAAATTGGCATTTATGTATATATTATTCAAAAAAACACACATAGGCCTAGATGAGGAAACCCTTTAAAAGTTGAAGCTGTGTTGTGCAGAAAAGCTGCCAGCCAGAAGACCTGCTGGGCCTCAGCAACTACAGTATGCCCACACCTACAAAGTGAGCACTGTGGCCCTGATTGTTGATCATTGTTGAACACTGGGTGGTCAGCATTTCTTTCAATAACAGGTGTGGAGTCTGAGGTCAACACTTTGAGGGACACTATTAGAAATTAAGAAGGCCACATACCAAGGTAGTTTTTGTTGCTTGAAATGAAAAGTTTTAAGCATACTGTTGTACAGCCAGAACATTTTAAATAATGCCACTGAAAGTATGTATGTGCTATATATGTTGAATAAATGTTGTATGGAAAAACTGGTATGGATTCTCTTCACTTGCAAGACACAGGACATTTCTGATGTGAGTTTGTTGTCAGAGCTGCTAGAAGCTGACAGCAGTGTTAGAACTGCACCACTGGAGCTCAGCTGTTTGGGTCAGAAAGGTCCGTGCACGTTCTGGGTCTGGGTATCTCTGGATAATCCGTAATTCGTTTGTAATTCTAAAATGAAATTACCGTTTATATCTGTTTTTTGTTTCAAAAACCAAATAACCATTTTTGGTGTCAGAATCAAAAAAACAATTAAAATCGGCCCGTTTTTCATTTTATTGTTATTTCTTTTTGAACAAAGAATGAAGAGAGTCTGTGAACTTCAGTCAATTCGTTTTTTGTTATAAACCAAAAACGGAAGTCACGTGGTCTATTCCTTTTATGGAAGATACAGTTACCGGTAAAACCTTCAAAATAAAAGTAGCCCATGTGACATGTAATTAGAAAGGTGATTTTTAAAACTAAAATAAAATTTTTTTAGTAAAACTAAAGTAGCACTGGGTGTGAAAAAAAACACTTTAGCTAACTGAAATAAAAACAATAGCTAATAAAATAATAACTGTTAGGGAGAATTAAACTTACTAGCACTGTGCCCTCACAGTAAGAAGGCTGTGGGTTCAAACCCCTGTTGTCCTGGCCTTTATATGTGGAGTTTGGATGTTCTCCGTGTGTGCGTGGGATTTACTTTGACCAGTTACATGGGTTAAATGCAGAAATTTTTTTTTACTATGTCTATGTGACAATAAAGTATACCATATTACTTAATCACCAGTGTAATTGCAGTCTTCTCCATCTTGTTCTCTGTCTGTCTCCATCCTAACTACAGGTGTCCAGCGATTGCTCCACCATCTTTGTGGACGGCAGTGAATCAGGGTTGGGTAACACCTGTGCAATGGTGGAGTTTCTACTGGGAGAGCTCAGTGGCTCTGTGTGTCTGGAGGTGTGGGCTCCTTCAGTTCCCCTGCGAGTGACCTTGGCAGACCCCGTTCTCAATGCCATCAATGGCTGGAACCACTTCACAGAGGAAGGGTAGACGGACAGCCACAATGTGTCTTATTTAGACTTTCCAACCTACAACAGTGTAGGAGAAACATTACTTTACTAAATGGAAAATAGACTGTAGCGCCTTTCTAGTCTTCAGACCACTTCACATTCATACACTGATGGAAGAGACTGCAATGCAAACTGCTCATCAGAAACTTAATTATTCATACACATTCACACACAGCCATCGGGAGCAATTTGGGGTTCAGTATCTTGCCCAAGGATACTTCGACATGCAGACTGGAGGAGCCAGGGATCGAGCCACCAACCTTCAATTCAATACAATTCAATTTATTATTTGTCCCAAGTGGGCAAATTGTGCTGCAGAAAGTGTAAAACACATAACAAAGTACAAGAAACACAATACAGTATAACAAAGAAACACACAGTATAACAAAGAAACATACAGCAGTGAACACATGTACCGAATACTTTTATAAACATATCTCCTAAGTTAAAATCAAATCAAATGCAACAAAAATAACCCTAATTAAATACACCAATTAGACTACCATTACCATTTTTAAACCACACAGCTAAATAATAATTCAAATCTAAATAGCTCTTCATCACTGTCAAACAACGTTTCAGCAATAAGCAACATGAACAATTTCACTCCCACAGCACCCGCAAATATACAAATAAACTATACACACCTCATTCTGCTTCCCAAGGGTGTTAGGACTAGATGTGCAGTTTCATTTATCTTACTTCATTACCGTCTTCAAACACTTTGGCGTCTTTAACGTGTGCTCTCTAATCTGCAAAAACCTAAACAAGTAAGTACAGGGTGTATCTACCATATTCACAGGGGGTAGTTTGACCTAGTGGCAGAAAGGATGCTGCCCACTGGTGGTCGCTACTGGGAAGAGTCATCTGCCTATGTTTACACCATAATCCAATAAAAAACAGCTTTTACAAATACAGTCACAGAAATCAGTACAATATCAGTGACTCAAAGGCTACGTTCAGACTGTAGTTTTTTTTTTCCCATATTTGACTCAGATCTAATCTTTATGTGACAGTGCGAACAGGCCAAGTCACACGGAATCTGATCTTTTCCAGTTCAGATTTGGGCCACTTTCATATGTGGTCCATATCCAATACTGATCGGATCTTTTTAAATGCGACCTGAGTCTGGACACTCAGGTTGAAATTGATGCAACTTTGACGTCACTCTAGAGCAGCTGTTGTCACAGTTCTGCTGTAGACGGAGCCGCGGTGAATGAAAAAGCTCCACAAAAGCCATAATTAAATGTGTGGGTCTCCTCCTTCTCTACCTTGCTATCATGTGCTCACAAATTTCCTTTCTTACACCGGAAATCCACCTGACTGCCAGCTCTCTCCTGAGTTCAATTCAGATTCAAGTCACTAATGCTTGCACACAGAGTGACTACTGGATCTGCACTCCATAATACAAGTTTACGTTTCTTCTCTGCCACTACACTCCTCCAACGAACGCTGCCTGGCTCTGTCATCCCTTCACACAAAGCAATCCCAGTCCCGGCTGTGCTATTAGATCTTACTAGTACAGTCCCCTCCAAAAGTATTGTAACGTATTTGTTTTTGTTGTTCACTGAAGACATTTGGGTTTAAGATCAAAAGATGAGTATGAGACAAGAGTTCAGAATTTCAGCTTTTATTTCCTGGTATTCACATACCAGGAAAGATCCTGGGTGGCTGTGGCTCAGGAGGTAGAGCGGGTTGGCCGTTAATCGGAAGGTTGGCAGTTCAATCCCTGGCTCCCCCTGGTTGCGTGTCGAAGTGTCCTTGGGCAAGATACTGAATCCCGAATTTCCCCTGGTGGCTGTTCCGCCAGTGTATGAATGTGTGGGCCGTGTGTGAATGTTAGTTTCTGTTTAAGCACTTAGGCTCAGTGTGTGAATGCAGATGTAGTGTAAAAGTGCTTTGAGTGGTCGAAAAAGACTAGAAAGGCGCTATACAAATACGGAGCATTTACACATCTAACTGAGCTTGTATGCTTCAGATCATAAGCAGTTCCTTTCTTTCTCCACACTTTGGCCTTTCCATCACTTTGCTAGAGATTAATCTTGGTCTCATCAGTCCATAAGATTTTCCAGAACTTTTGCGGCTCATTTTGCAAATTTCTTTGGCTGATGAGTGGTTTGCATCTTGTGGTGTGGCCTCTATATTTCTGCTCTCTGAGTCTTCTTCCAACAGTGGATTGTGATACCTTCAGCCCTGCCCCCTGATATTTCTGTCATCAACTACTGTTGTTTTCCTTGGTTGTCTGTTGGACGTCTGTTGCTCAGTACACCAGTAGTTTCTTTCTTTTTCAGGACATTCCAAATTGTTCGAAGGTCAATTGGTCGAAGACATGCAGCCTAGGTTAATTGGTGTGAGTGGGTGTCTGTCTATGTGTGGCCCTGCGATGGACTGGCGACCTGTCCAGGGTGAACCTCGCCTTTCGCCCAGTGTAAGCTGGGATTGGCTCCAGCCCCCCACGACCCTGTACGCAGGATAAGCGGTTGATGATGGATGGATGGATGGATAATATGATACTGTGATACACTGTGGTTTGCTGGAGTCCCAAAGCTTTAGAAATGGCTTTATAACCTTTTCCAGACTGATAAATCTCAATTACTCAGTTTCTCATTTGTTCCTGAATTTCTTTGGATCGCAATATGATGACTAGCTTGTGAGGATCTTTTGGTCTTCTTCGATTTGTCAGGCAGGTCTTATTTAAGTGATGTCTTGATTGAGAACAAGTGTAGCAGTAATCAGGCCTGGGTGTGGCTAGAGAAACTGAACTCAGCTTTCCAAACATGTGATAAACCACAGTTGATGTATGTTCAATCATACATCAACGTTTTCACACAGGGCTAATTTAAAAACTGCATTTTGTGTTTACTTGTGTTATCTTTGTTTAATATTTCAATGTATTTGATTATCTGAAACATTTCAGTGTGACAAAAATGAAAAAAATAAGAAATCAGGAAGGGGCAAATGCTTGTTCACTCCACTGTATACACGTAGTCCTCCTCTGGTCTTACTGGACTCTTGTGTTCTATCAGCATGGAACTTAACATTCTTACTGCATTTCATTATGGGAACTTTATTTACTGTAAAATAAGACAATGTACACATTTCATATACTGTCAACAATAAAAAATAAAAATATACATACACACAACCAAAAAAATAAAGAACACAAAATTATTTACTACTTCAAAGATTCCAATAGAATGATGCATCTACTGTAATGCTACCTGTTGTTAGTGTTTTTTAGGTAATTGTGTTATGAGTGACAAAGTGCTGCTGTTGGAGAGAACTACTGCTGGTGTTTTTGTAAAATTATTTGATATTGAAACAAGCATGCAGTGTTTTGGTAGTTTAGGTGCATTTTGGGTGTGAAATTAACTTGTGCAAGCTGTGTGTTGGTACAGACCACAGGGTGAAGAGTTTTGAAAAAGTAAACTCAGTACTGAAAAATGCTTGTTAGCAATTGTAAAAAACTACTGTAATACCAAGGGTTAAATCCATGAGATAAATAAAACAGGGACCCACTCATAGAAAAACTACTCCATAGTGCTACTAGAGGTCAGGAACTCCACAAGAAACCTTTAAGGCCTGTTAAAGCTGTGAATGCAGCTAAATTCAGAGATCCAAGGTTACTATGCATAAGTTTTGATAGATTCTCAGCTATATTGGTAACACAAGCATCATCATGTGTATTTGTGTATTATCTCACAGAAATATGTTAGTTAGGCTAGTTCTTTGTGTCTTGTCTCCTTAGGTGTGTGCCGGTGTATCAGCGTACCTCAGTACAAGTTTTGACTCAGTTCACAGCTCAAGACTCCCACGGCAGAACCACACACCTACTGGGCTCATCTGATTGGTTTGTGGATGTTACAGACCTGGTCCATAACTGGTTGAGAGTAGATGACCCTCGAGTGGCTTCCCTTGGCACACAAGCCAACCTGATTGGTTTACAACCCGGAAAGACATCACTTTATGTAGGTGATGGTTGTACATCAGTTCAGTTGGACATGTTCACTTACTGAGCATGATGAACTCTCTCACTCTCTCTCTCACTCTCTCTCTCTCTCTCTCTCTCTCTCTGTTTCTCTCAGGTTATCTCTGAGCAGTGGGATGGTGTGCTGGGCAGATGTGACATCACTGTGACCTCTAACCCTGTTACCCCAGGGGACCTGTCTGTACAGGTGGTTAGCGGCCTTGGCATGTCAGTTATGGCCAGCCCAACCCACCCTTCCATCATCACAGCAACAGTGACAGCCTACAACATCCTGTACAACCATCACCAGGTGAGCGTGATGTCAATGAGGTTTAATTGCAAATAATTACTCACCAAGGCAACAGCATTTTACATTTGAAACTCTGAGATAGATGTATTCAACCTGCTATGAGGAGGATATATGCCTCACTATGGACATCCACTAGGGTGCTATGGATGAAAATATGAATTAGGCATAAGAAATTAAGTTTGAAGAAAGCATACAGATGCAGAGAGCTCAGTGCATCATGGCAGTCTAGGCCTATAGCAGCATAACTAAGGGATGGTTCAGGACTCACCTGAGCCAGCCCTAACTATAAGCTTTATCAAAGAGGAAAGTCTTAAGCCTGCTCTTAAATGTGGAGATGGTGTCTGCCTCCAATATAAACCTATACATGTGGCAGCAGAGTTCAGCAAGTCAGATTGGGCAGTTATTCAGCAGTCTGACTGCCTGTGGCAAGAAGCTGTTGAGGAACCTTGTAGTTCTTGTCTTGAGACTCCTGAGCCCAAAGGGACAAGCAGCTTCAAGCAGCTTGTGGAGATGTGTGTGAGGGGTCTCATGGTGCCCTGTGCCTTCTTGAGGCAATGTATCTGGAAAAGGTCCTTTATAGAAGGCAGGGACATCCCTATGATGTTCTCTGCTCCTTATGGTGTGTTCACATACAACTTAAATGTAATCCTTGCAACGCTTTCCTCGTGGGTGTTTTATCGCTAGACAACTGCCAAGTGTTCACACACAACTTAATATATAATAATTCGTTAAAAATAATTTGCTGGGATTTCATTCCAATTAACGGATCAAACTGATCGAAATATCTTCAATATGATGCCGATTTGTTAAACATATTAATTCATACTTTGTCAGGTCTGTCAGCAAGTCAGCAGGACACCAACTTTTTAAATTAAATTTAATGGAGTTTGGATCGATCAGGGCTTTGCTACACTAACACTAGTTCACAGTAAAGTACAACAGTAGCTGGAATAAAGATACAGACACATATTTTCTGAACTCATCAGGTAGTTCAACATCCTTGCTTTCTTTTCTCCAAGCAATGTCTAGTTTTGTCCATTTTTTATATTTTACATTTATTCATTTAGCTGACGCTTTTATCCAAAGCGACTTAAAATTGCTATACATGTCAGAGGTCGCACGCCTCTGGAGCAACTAGGGGTTAAGTGTCTTGCTCAAGGACACATTGGTGTCTCACAGTGGAGACACAGTATATAAATATGAAGTAGTAGTCCAACAGAGTTCCGGGTGCCATCCGACGCTAACAAAAACAGTGGAACTGGAAGCTAGCTGCTGAGAAGCTCAAGTGAAGACAAATCAACGTTTTGATTCCCAAAAACTAAAGTAAAATGCTAATTTTATAAAGTTAACTAAACGTTCACTCTGAGCTCCTCCCTCGGGTAAACGGCGTAGTTGTCAGAGCATAATCCAGTCAGTCTACGGGTGTTTATTTGTCCAAAAGCTGCAGTTGCTTCTACACTAGTTTAGCAACTCTCTGTCTGCCAACGACATTGTACCAAACACAGAACCTTGTTGAACTCCATGACTAACTTTGGCATGCATGGGGAGCTAACATATAACTTTCTAGTCTTCTGACCACTCAAAGCGCTTTACATGTCACATTCAACCATTCACACATATTCAGATGTTGCCATGCAAGGTGTTTATTGTTTATTTATATAAATTAACAACATGAAACACTTAAGAGGACAATAATATAGTCTTTCCATCTATATCCTGTTGGGTTTCTCCAGGAGGCATCCATCAGTGTCTGGCTCCAGTTTAGTGACGACACTGCCTCCCTCCTCTCCTCCTTCAACGATCTACCCTTTTTCCTGCGTCTCTCCTCATTGGCTGACACTGTGATTGTGGTGACGCCCGGCTCCAGCCAACGTATCATTGCCCAGGGTGACGGAGGTGGGCCTTTACTGCGTGCAGAACTACTGGTTTCAGCCTGCACAGACCAGCCAATCACTTCCAACTCTCTCAGTGAAAGTGACAGGGATTGGAAGGATGGAGAAGGAGGAGGTGGAGGCAGAGGGACCAGGAGGCTGGCAAGAGGATCTGGTTGGATCAGAGTCAACCTAGACCTGGGCTTCCTGCAGCCAGTAGGGGACAAAGATGAGCAGGGTAAAGAGTTTGAATTTGACATTTCAGACATGCTGGTTGAGTCAGACAGTGACATATATGCATCAAACTTTGACGAGAACGAAAGTGGGAATCTAAGCAGTGACTACTATGACAAAATCAGTGGAATAATGACTAATAGAAACTGGAATGAGTTGGGTAATGGAGGGATGGTAAGTCGGAACAATCTGGAAAGGGCTGTGCTGATGCCGAGCCAGGAGGAGGGTGCTGTGTACTTCTCCCCGAGCCAGGAGACAGGAGAGAGGAGGAAGAGGATGAGGAAGGGCAGCGAGCTCGAGAGCTGGACGTCGGTGCGGGCGCTGTCCTCTCTGCTGTCTTGCTGCTGTCCTCTTCTGGCAAACTGTCTGCCCTGCGCCCTGCAAGACAGGAGGAGGACAACAATAGAGGCGAAAGGGAAGGAGAACTAGAGGGAGGCACAAAGGAAGAAGAGGAACAGAAAAAGGG